GGGTTGACACCCCAGCCATGCACTCAGTGCCGCGGCTCCTCGCCCGCCCGCCCTAGGGAAGCGGGGCTGGTGCCACGTGGCAGGGCTGCAGGAAGGTGCAGGAGTTGAAAGCAGGTTGCACTTTTGAAAAGTTAGAGAAATGCCTCTTTGGTGCAGTTAAGTTCCCCCAGGCTTGGTCCCCAGGACAGCAATCCGTAGTGTAAAGTTGTTTCAGGAAGGTAAGATGACATCAGACATGCACAGAGCACCAGAGATCTTGAGGGCTAAATGGAGCGACACTTGAGACGCCTGCCAGTACGCCCAGAATAGCACCTCCACGCTTAGTCCTCTTGCCTTCGGTAGTATTACACGTGTCAGTACCGCTCCACCGGCAACCAAACAGCAGCAATAAGGCTGGAAAGTTTGCATGTGTCCGAGGACAGCATAAAGACATAAATATGCTCTCTAGATTGGGAAAAAAAAAAAAAAAAAAGAAAGCAGCAGAGTGAAGCTGTAGTCCAACTCTGCCTTGTTTGATGTATATGCAGATAAATCATAACCAAGTATGCAATGGCTGAGGTGAAAGTGAATAGACAGAAATGCAAACCCTTCATACGTGTTGCAGAAGCCAAGAGCCAGACAAGCAGTAACAATTCAACTTACCATAATGTAATTTAAACTTCAGGAAATAAAGCTGCCCATTTCCTTTAGAGGAAGGGGGGTTTCTTACTATAAATTTAACAGTGTTGCGTTCATTGGGGGATTTGGGGCAAGAAATGTGAGTTGTGGAGGTACCTCCTCTACAGAAAATGCGGATTTCTTTTGCAAACCTAGCTGTAGGGTTTGGGGTTTTTTTCTTCTTTCTTCTCCTGTGGAAGAAATGTTTCTTACATTTGCAAATTATTTTCCCTCTTCTTCAATAAATGCTTGTGGAAGAGGAGAGAAATGGTTTGGCAAGAAAAAGTCAGAGAAGGGGGCTTGAATTAACATAGTCTGAAACTGAGCCCCTAAAGAAATTACTGAATCAGAACTTTCCCCCCCCCCATGTAAAACTTGACTAATTGAAACATTTGCAAACATGTGCAAGAGGAGTTGAGAATATTTCCAAGAGGCAGGAAGAGGACTGACAAAGAAAGTCCTCAGCAACCCTAATTTTTTAAATAATGAGGAATTTCTGGGATGTGAACTGGAAATCTATCTTGATCTACTTTTTGGCATTCTTGGCTGGGGTGCAGGCTAATACCTGCGCCTCGGACATCACAAAGCGGCCCCTGCCGCTGTGCTGGCTCATCCCGTGCTGCAGGCAGTGGTGCGGGCAACGCAGTTGCCTACTTCCCTTTCCCTGCGAGACAAGCTATTCCCTCCTAGCAGGGGAGAAGCCACCCCGGCACAGCCGCGGGCCCCGTGTCCCCATTTCCAGTGCCCTACCCTGACGCCGCCATCTCTCCTACAGACGTACAGGAGGTGGAGCTCGGAAGGCAGGGGTGGGAGACGAGGCCATGACGCCCCCATGATCGCCTATGACGCCCTGATGGGCTGCGGCGGGGACTGGACAGAGCTCTGCAACCGCTCCATGTTCCACGGAGGTGAGGGCCCCCCCGCGGTTCCCACTCCCGCTCCCTCGCCGAGGAGAGGACAGAGCCCTCCTGGCTGGGCGCTGCCGCCGCG